CTCTGCATTCACGTCCTATTTTGAACAATTTAAGTGCAATCAAAATGGACGCGTTTGTTAAATAACAAAATCAATTTTGCATTCGTTCATTGTTGGTCTCCATCTTGGAGATATGGCACAGTACCGGCCTGTATAACACACGGCGATGGAGGCTAAAAACCGGAGAGCGAGGAGAAATGACGCCATTTCGGTTGTCGAGATAGTGAAACAAATGACTCCAATTAGCTGACCATTCGTCTCACACCTTGGGTTTTTGTTTCTTTTTCGAAGAACATCACACTAGATATCCGCCTCCTTCAGGGAACATTTTTATAAGTGGGTGCTTATTTTTTATGGTCCGGCAAAAAGTAGTCAGTTTTACAGGGAACAGTTTCCAGTTTATATTTCTCGAACACATCCTGGTTTTATTTTTAATTTAGAAAGTTTTCGGAAGCATTGAGTTTTTAGAGGTTGTAATTTTAACGCTGTAAAGAATAAAATTATGTATTTTATAATTAAGACATTTTCTAACGGTTAAGGCAGTCTGCATAGAAAACAAATAGGTGGGTTTGAATCACAGGCCGGGATAAACAATTTAAAATTAAAAACACAGACAAAACATAATAAAACAATAAGTCAAAGTAAAAATAAATTCTGACAATAGTTATTTAATTAAATGCAACTGTATGTGAAAATGTAACCTATAATGTGAAAGAAAACCCAATTCATTACCATGGTCTGTTAAGCATCTACATTCTATAAAATCCTCAAATTCTGTGATTTAGAATTGTCCAATTGGCAACATTGCTGACGCTTTTGTTGTTTATCTCCATGACAACCCACCTGAGCGGGAAAACGTTAACCAAATCGGATAGAGAGAAACGGACTCCAGTAACCTGGTAATTGTATTAGCTTCTGTAAATAATGTTGCTGACGCTGACGTGGCAGTCCGTCCTAGCTACAATCCTTCATCGTTCTCACTGGCACGGCACGATGTTCGAATTGTATCCAGGCGGTAAACAGCGGAAACGCCTTATAAATAAAACTTGAACGTATTCGAAAACGTGAACATTTTGTGTATCTGTTATCTTTAGTTAACCAAAAAGTTTTTAAATATCAAATAAAACTGGTAAACTGAAAAAGCGTTGATGACTATTTAAGAATTTAATATTTGTAGAGCTATTTTTGGCCCTACCGAACTGAACATAATATAGATATATAAATTATATGGATGCAGAAATATAAAAGCAATATACATATAATTAAATTAAATTAAATTTAAGTTTAGCTATTTTAAAGAGTAAAAAAAATATCAATAGTTTTTTATTTTCAAAGTTTACAACTTGCGGTTGCTGTCGAATGCACTACACAGTCGTATTTTCGTAATCCACAGTTTCTTATAAAGCAAAATAGTCACTCTTCAACGTGCAGACAACAATGCCAGCTTAATGCCTTCGTCATGTTGGTGTTTTCTATCTAGTATAGTAATTGTCCTAGTAATATTAGTAATTGCTTAGTCTTATCAATGAGAGTATTCTATATGGATAGAAAGAACCCGTTAGATGGCATTGTAACTTTGGTGATGATGGAATGGATTATTCATCCACAGTAGTATATTATCACATCAAAGATTTCAATTATTATTATTATTATTATTATTATGTTCTGTTTTCAGTAAAGGTAGATCTAGAAATTTGCCACAGACAACACAATTATGAACTTTTAGAAGACAGACAACAAAATAAAATTGGTTTTTAAAAATTCGTGACTGATGAACACAAACCTGAACTCTAAGAACCAAAGACTACGTCTGAAGAAAGGGGAAGGTATATAACGTCTTGCATGTATTACATATTTGACCTATTATCCTTTGATAACCTTCTATTACGTAGCAGATTAAGTACATTTCGTTGGTGACTTCGGGTGCCAATTATTAGATATTTATATTTTATTATTGACATTACCTTTTATATATACGTCTTTCCTTTCAATCCTTACCCAACTAACAAAGTAGCTTTATAATTTTTAGTTTACAAGACTATTATATTTTATTGATATTATATTGCTGTTTCTGGAATGCTAATTTATTGTACTACAGTTGCAAAAATCACTATTTTGTTCTCTGAAACTAAATAGTTATATAAATTAGTTTTTACAATATTCTTACAGCAAAATTATAAAATTGTTTTCACGATAACTACGAAATTGTTACATAAACATTTATACAACTGTTCTATACAATATTTCAGCTTATAAAATAAAATTGCTTTATAGTTATTCTATATTATTGTTCTGGATTACCTTTAGAACTTTTTGGTCATACAAATATAACTGTTTCTTAACCTCATAATAACGCTTTAAAAAATAGTTATATAAATATTAGTGTGAGATAATTCCGCATCAATAGCAATTTGCTTCTGATGAAAACTCTAAAATAACTGTAATATATTGTCGAAATATACTATTACAAATCAAAAAACTGTATAACAATTATTTTAGTTAAGAATAGTATTATCCCTTTAAAAATATTTATAAAAAAATAAAGCAACTACATTTGGTAGTACCTACGCCATATTATTTTTGTATTCTATGTTTGTTCAACTACTTTCCATACCAATTGTATGTGAGTGTATAGTCTGAAAATGTCAAATTTAAATAGTGAAGAAATGTAAAAAATAAGTGGTACCTGCTTTTCAGAGAACAGTAAAAAATATTAGTAAAACATTTTGATGGTTTGTCTAGACACTCAAAAAAAAAACTATCATTCAGCCAGATAATAATTAGGTATGTTCTGAATAATCATGCCCCAATACTAAAAGAAGGCCATATTTTTGGCGATGTCCATGTTAAACTTGCTTATTATCGTAATATTAAAAATTATGCTTGCTCTATAAAGCTGTAGAAACAAATCGGAAACGATTTAGTAAGGTTATGTTATATTTTGTCATATAGTGCAGAAATATGAAACAATTATACAACAAACCATGATGAAGTTGTTTTGTAGAAATAATACAACTTAATTATTGTATTACAGCTGTTTTTACTACAATAATATTTTATAATTATGATTCAGTCTTAAAATAACTTTCTAATACCTCTGAATAGCCGCCATATTTAACAAAAACCTAAGACAGTTTTAAAGCTAAATCTACTGTCGGTTTTACTAGTATTTAAGACAAAACCAATGTAAATTAAAGATTTTAATCATTAGTAATATTAGCATAATCTTATTTTTAAAAAAAATCAAATTGCATAAATTTAATTTTTGTTTCACACTGAAAAAGTATTAGAAATATGAATCAAACTCGAGGCGCTTAAAAATTTAGTATTGTATGTGCTATATAATTAACAGTAATTCTTGCTGCGCATCCAAAAACGACTTTATTGTAGGTCATACATTATGTCTAAACCGCGTTATAGATATCTCTTAAGTAAATACTGCCATTTTACTAATATCGCCTTGAATTTACATTTATGACAAATATAGAATTAATTTGTTTTCACCAGACACATTTAAAAAACTAAAATGTTACTGATTTTGATATGCAACCTAACCTCAAAATTGAAAATTTATAAAACAGTTATAAAAGTTTAAAAAAACATTTGTTTAAAGTCTGTGTAAATGTGTAGTAACTGTTCGGTAACTGCATTTAACAAATCTTATAGAATTTACAAAAGAACCAAATAGTTCTGTAATACTGCGCCCATTTTGTGTTTATTACTGTTGAAAGAATGTTCCGGAAATATTCTTAGCTAATATTCTATTTTATAAATTTTGTTCTGTAAACATTTTTTCAGCTTTTATAAAATATCAAATTGTTACTTGGGATTATATTAGATTTACTCATTTTACAACAAGTCTGTATTTATTGAAGGGATATTATAAATTAACATCCTGAAGTGTAATTTATATTTATTTTCAAGACCTCATATTGTCAACAGAACCAAGAGGCAATTTTGAAATGTCTTTCTAATTGTGGTAAGGAGTATCAGCAATGAAAAACTTGACAGTTATAAAAATTACACTGGCAAAAATGATTGAATCTGCTTGAAGTGGGTCTGTGACACTTGTGATCTTGGTTCGAATGACCCCCATTATGAATGTTCTTCATGTGCCTCGTGCTCAATTTGCTTCATAGGTTAGTCGGAGTACAATAATCTAAAGGCTTGGATTAAGTGCATAACGTGTAACAAATTGATTTGTGCATATTGTAATTAAGGTTCAAACCAAGCAAATTACCATTACGATTATGTCCTGTTTGCGAGGATGATGACTAAAGACTGACAATTAGTATTATTATCATTTTATATTTGTTGTTCTGTTCTTTTGTTTGTTTTTTACTTTACTTACTTTGTTTACTTTTATTATGTTTACTTTTTTTGAAAATGTTCCTTTAATTTTTTACTTTTAGAGAATTTGATTTGTTTTTTTGAACCAAATGAATCCTACGACCAAAGGTTTTTAGTTTAATACAATCGTTTATATATTTGTTTACTTTGTTTGCGTTGTTTACTTTGTTTGTTTAGTTTTTGAGAATGTAGCTGCCCTAGTTTGACAATGTACTAAAACTTTGTCCCCAAACAGAGACTAAAAAAGGGGAAAGGGGGTGATAGACAATACGGAATTTTTTTTTGTGGTGAAAAGCCAAGACATCACGGTTACAATGGTTTCTAGTTGACACATTTTAGTGGGCGAGGCTAAATATGTCAAAAATATGTTGAAGTTTTTACGGTTTACGGTACATATTAATTGAAAAACCAATTTATATATTTAATTTAAATTTGTGAACTAGAAACGACACCGTGGAAGCAACAATGAAGGTGTGTTTTACAAAAAAATAGATGCAAGTAGTTGAAATTAGTATATATTTAGTCAGTATTAAGATTAAATAAAAAATCACTTGTATTAATTACATCGCTCCTAAAAGTTAAATTATGATGCTCAAGCTTGTTAAATTTCAATATGTCAGCTTTAGTAAGGATAACTCCTATTATTTATTGTTTAAATTTTGGTTGATTACCTTTCTGGAGAATCTAGAGACAGCTGGAATATATTCATATACGTTTCAAGTAAGTGAAATTTATTTTTATTATGTTTTTCTTTATTTAGCTGACAATATTTTCCTTTTAAGAACCAAGATTTTAAGATTATTGACTTCTTTTCTTCACTTTTTTCTGTTGCCTTGGTAATCTAATTAAAAAAATTATACAACAGATGTTTAGTTTATATTTTTAAAACTTATTTTCTAACCTCACTTCTTTGTATTTGCACGCACAATTTATTACTTATTTATTTCAAATTTGAATTATACTTAGGTACTAACAATATTTATTACATAGTATAATTGTTTTTTTTATTTTTTGTGTTTTATTTAATGGGACTTGCAAAAAAAATGTAACTAAATTAGTACCCCATGGAATCGCCTCCTATGGAAATCACCGTAGTGCAAATTCGTGGCTATTTTCCTAAAAATAATTACCGAATATCAGAAGAAACGATTTATAATCATTCCTGTTTCTGAAAGGTCTATTAGCCCACCAGAAGAAATCGTTATTCGAATCCGATCGACCAGCCCCAAGGATCCCCCATTCTCCCAACAACAAGCAACATTTTATTTATGTTGTTTTAAACGCTTCTCGATAAAAGGCCTGAGATTACCAGAGGGTGCTCGTATCGAGCGCAAACGATTCATCAAACTATCCTTGTATCCAGTTCGGACCGGACAAAAGTCCTTTTATGAGACCCTTTGACAAATTATTCGACTTCCAAGTCTCACAATGTATATGTCGAGAATGTATAAATTTGAATAAAGAATGTTTTTGAATGCTTTTGTGTATTTTGTATATTGCATTTTCTATTTGGAGGGCACTTAGAGTCGAAGAAGGATATAAAAGAATTTTGTATTAGATAATGTGAGAGATCCTATAAGTAGGATCATGTCTTATATCCAATAAGTTAGAGGAAAATTGTACAACAAAAAAGTTTATATACAGTATGTCAAAAACAATTAATATTAATAAAAGGTGCGTTTTAATCATCCGCTTCTGCTTCCGGAATTGTCGGTTTAGTCGTTTTAACCTGTCAGATTAAAACAAGAAAACTGACAATTCCGAAGCAGAAGCGGATGATTAAAACGCACCTATTGCTTAGTAGGTCTGCTGGGCAAAGCCAAAAGTAGATCATTTTTGGTCTAAATTGAGGTATTATGCAAGTTATAATATAAAAACAAAGTTCTATAAGTTCTGCAGATAGTCAACTGGATAAAGTAACTACAAAAAAAAATTTCTTAAAAAAGAACAAAATAATGTACTGATTAAGGACACTATTTATCCTACGACAAAAAAAAATATAACAAAGTCAGCTCATAAAATCTTGGTCCCATAAGAAAATTAACCTTTTAATATTTATCATAAAATTGGCCTTGAGAAAATTCTACGTAGATTTCATGTTTGAGTAAGACTAAAACTTAAAAATCTCGGAAATGGAATATTCTATAGAGATTAATCAAGTGTCTCTTTTTTGTGACAAATTGCACGAGAAATAATTATTAATCCTAATTTTAATGAAATATAGAGTGATCAGAAAGTTTTGATGAAAATTGTTCTCATAACCAATTAGTTATCGTAATTTATCAAAATAAAGTGTGTTTGTTAACTAATAATGACGATTTTTAAGTCAAAATATTAACCGCAATGTTGTAATTTTAATGGGCGCTGTTAGATCTCTTAGATCTTTTAATTCTCTTAGATCTCTTAGTTCAATAGATCTCTTAAATCTTTTAAATCTTTTAAATCTCTTAAATATCTTAGATCACTTAGATCTCTTAAATCTCTTAAATCTCTTAAATCTCTTAAATCTCTTAAATCTCTTAAATCTCTTAAATCTCTTAAATCTCTTAAATCTCTTAAATCTCTTAAATCTCTTAAATCTCTTAAATCTCTTAAATCTCTTAAATCTCTTAAATCTCTTAAATCTCTTAAATCTCTTAAATCTCTTAAATCTCTTAAATCTCTTAAATCTCTTAAATCTCTTAAATCTCTTAAATCTCTTAAATCTCTTAAATCTCTTAAATCTCTTAAATCTCTTAAATCTCTTAAATCTCTTAAATCTGTTAGATCTCTTAGATCCCTTAGATCTCTTAGATCTCTTAAATCTCTTAGATCTCTTAGATCTCTTAGATCTCTTAGATCTCTTAGATCTCTTAGATCTCTTAGATCTCTTAGATCTCTTAGATCTCTTAGATCTCTTAGATCTCTTAGATCTCTTAGATCTCTTAGATCTCTTAGATCTCTTAGATCTCTTAGATCTCTTAGATCTCTTAGATCTCTTAGATCTCTTAGATCTCTTAGATCTCTTAGATCTCTTAGATCTCTTAGATCTCTTAGATCTCTTAGATTTCATAGATCTCTTAGATCTCTTAGATCTCTTAGATCTCTTAGATCTCTTAGATCTCTTAGATCTCTTAGATCTCTTAGATCTCTTAGATCTCTTAGATCTCTTAGATCTCTTAGATCTCTTAGATCTCTTAGATCTCTTAGATCTCTTAGATCTCTTAGATCTCTTAGATCTCTTAGATCTCTTAGATCTCTTAGATTTCATAGATCTCTTAGATCTCTTAGATCTCTTAGATCTCTTAGATCTCTTAGATCTCTTAGATCTCTTAGATCTCTTAGATCTCTTAGATCTCTTAGATCTCTTAGATCTCTTAGATCTCTTAGATCTCTTAGATCTCTTAGATCTCTTAGATCTCTTGGATCCTATATTATTTTTTATTTTTCTGCAATTTAATTTTAATATGTTCTATTTTGTATTTTTTATAAATAGTTTTTGATTTTAAAAACATTACAAACATGTATATTATACATTTAATACACAATATTTTAATTTGTCTTTGAGATCATTTATTATTTATTACGTGTATGTTTAAAATTTTGACTCTTTATATTGCTGACATCTAGAAATATTTTTATTTACTTCTTATGAAACAAATTTTCATATTGTGATATAATAATGTTTTTTATTTTTTATTATAATTACTATACTTAGTTCACTTTGGTATACATTAGTTGTTCTTTTTTTTATCATAATATGTATAGTAAGTCCCATTATTTTAATAATGTGATATTAGATACCTATAGAAAATATTATAACTCGGATATTAGCTATTCATTATCTAAATTTCTGCATTTCTAAAATTATTTCAATATTTAGTTAGTTTAAAAATACCTACTATCTACCCTGACCCCAACTCTTAATTCTTTGTATATATCTTAAAGGCATTAATCTAACTAAAATTTATATTCGAGTGGTACTTTTATCTAATGGAGAGTCATTAATATCGCATGTAAAGGAATATACATACTTGAAATATTTAATTAAGACAAAATATATCTCAAACCGAGCAGTAAATTATGTAGGTAATTGCAGTCTGAAGTGCATCGTTTATAGAATTCATGGATTAACATTAAACGTAATTTATTCCAGTAATTAAGGAACTTGTTTCAATTTTATCAAAATCAAATTTCCTTTTACATGGACGCGGATGCGGAATGGGTTCTAAATGCGACTCAACAATTTCATGACGAATTATAAATTTAGTTTAATAAAACTTTTACCTCGTTATACACGTTGATGAATAATAGATTGGTTGTCAGAAGGACTATGGCAGGTTTATTTCCAAAACCATTACATTACAAAAAATAGCAGTTTTTGTAAGTCTGCCAAATTTACTTTGTTTGGTGTTTGTTTTAGATATGAGCTAGTGAAAAACAAAATAAATGTTTATATTGTTAGATAATATTTCAAATTTGCTGGAATTTATGTTTGAACTTTTTTATATAATAAATATATGTAATACCTCGACATATCAGCTACGCCAATGACAGTTTCTACACAATAAACTATAGATGAATGCAAGCGCTCTAGAAACTATGCATCAAAGGTGCAAGAACTACTAACTGTCTAGTCTATCAATCCCAAGAAGACAAATATTGTCCTTTTTGTAAAAAAATGGAAAATAAATAAAACACACATTCCTAAACACAAAACTCAATTTTTCAACATAGGTGAGGTACCTAGATCTCACCTTTGAGAATTTAATAATTAATAACTTTTAAATAAAAACACGTTCTTTTAAGTTTTATACCCCTTAAAATTTTACTAATTTTATCAATAATTTTTATTGAAAAAAGTTTTTGCTCATATCCTCATTTAATATTTTCAATCCCGTATATTTAAAATGGCTTCTGGTTTTCCTAATAAACAAAATTAAATAATTTATATTTGCTTTAAATCAAAATTAAACACCAATTTGGTACGGCTTTTTACGATCCTCAGGTAGTTCATAAAATCATTTCATTTTTTTTAAATTGTTCTTTTAAAGCTTGTTTATTTTTTCTTAGGCATGTTTAACTGGCCGTAAAGTCCACAAATTAACAAATCCAGTTTCATTTTATTACAACACAGCTATTAAAACGAAACTAGTTTGGAATTTATTACTTGCAACTGTCTTGTTAAAAAATACGGTGTATGAAATGAAAAAAGTTGTAAGTAATTTTTTGACACAAAATATATATATGGAAATGGAAATATTTAATGTTGTGAATAGATTACTCTTCTTAGTGTATTTTTTTAAAAGGGAAACTATTGCAAACAAATTTTACAAATTTTACAAGCCAGCAAAGATTTCTTTCATATGTTTCTATATACTTTTTAGCACCTTATCACTATTGAATGTAAGAATTATTGTATTCATCTTGGAAATAAAATTATTATACAAGAAAAATTGCGATATATGCAGATTTTCCAGTTCCCATAAATCATCAGTATACCCAATCATTGGTTGCAGGAACATTGTTTCTCTGTACTATTCTTTTTTTTTGCGTTTCGATAGAAAATAATGAAAAATAGAAACAGCGCCATCGCAGGGTTGCAGTATGACATTTTAGAATCCACTATCGGCCTTCTTCTGTGCCATAAATTTATATATAAAGTTCGTAGGATTTATGAGAATGCGAACTCTAGCTCGGGCCCGCAACCCTGACATTTGTTTAGATCTA